CAATGAGTTGAAACTAAGAGTGATTGGAGTGAAACATGATGACAGTCCATGAAGTTTGGAACAATTAGTCGCTTTAATGAAGCCAGACAGTGTAATTAGGAGACGAAGCTTATGTGAACAATGTGATTTATTTGCACAATACATTTAGAACAGTCGGATCACACATTTGTTTGTCAAGTCAGGATATGTGGAAGTGGTGATAGTCATGCGGAAATTGAAACCGGTTTTGTGTACACGAAAACAATCTGTCTTTGCAGTACATCTACCTTGGTAAACTTTTCTTCATACCAAGATTAGGATCAATTATGCCATTCTTTTCTTTTGTTCTCATCTCTCTCAATTTTGACGCTCTATTATCCTAGTTGCTCTATTTATCCTTCCATTCTTCACTTTTATATCACTTGGCTTGAAAAGCAAGTGTGTGATCAGATTGCTCAAAGTGCGTTGGGCAAGTAGGCCACACACTGTTCAGATTAGCTTCGTCGTCTAATTGCACTGTCTAAAATCATGAAGTCTTTGACTGATGATCTGAACTGCTTAAGATAGTGTATCCCACTCTATCGATGTCCACGAGTTGATGAGAACCGACGTTTGGTAACTTGGCTCGCAACTGGTAATGGTGGTACAGATGTTTGCCCTTTTTGACACTCTCGCTAACCTTCATTTTTTGTTGCCATTCTTACTGTTTATGTCCTTTGGGTGTGTTGCCGCGAACTGTGAAAGGATTAAAATGATGCGCTAATTTGCAATGTTTCACACTTATCTGCTCGTCCACTTTAGTGATGGTTATCGTAAGATATTTATGGCTGCCTGTACTTTTATAGTAGACTATATACTAAAGTTATGGTGTATGTGTTCATTAAGTTTAAGAAATGTATGTAGGCTATATGAAAAATGAAGTACGAAGTCATTATCCAGTGATTTGTATCTTGCGGACATTTTATTACTGATATATTTTCTGTCTCCTTCTTCATCCTGGCGACGTGTCCTGTTTTAGGCACATATGTAACTGATTCATATCTACGACCACAACCATTGTCCGATGCGTGTCTGATTAACTGGGTTAATATGGTTGGGGTAGGACTATAACATGATGTATTGGCTGAGAACTGTAATGTGACGTGCAAATTGTTTATTGTGATACGATTTTATTGGTAAAAAGTGCGTCACTGTCCAAGTATACTGTAGGTTTACGCTCGTGAATCCTCGTAAAATATCATTGTTGTATTGATGGTGTACATACAATATAATGCGTTGAGCTGTAGTTCATTCGACTTCTAATCAGTGGATTAGGTTCGAATCTCTCTCCACCTACTGATGTCTGGGTAGCCACATTGGATCACTAGCCATCACACAATAGGTGTAGTCTGCTACCCAGTGTACGTGAATGTTGAGTGTATTTCAATTCATAATATGAACGAGACGATGTCCAGTAAGGTTTGGGTATCAGTAGAGGAAGATTTGCGGTTCAAGTTGATAACGAAGTTTATTTTGATGTCTTATGATCTTTTAACTGTTTTCATTCCGTCACTGGACTATTTAAAAACTTATATGTAATTTTAACAGACTTGACAGGATAAGCGTTAGAGTGAGGGTAGGATGCTATATACTCCTAGTGAAAAGCTAGAATCTGAGTTATTTAGGCATTTGACTGTCGGTCAGTGCATAACGAGTTCGCATACACTAACTCGTATGTAATCCACAACACATTAAACAGGCTTCCACCTATTCAGTTGGTTGTACTCTATTTTAGTCCTTATACAGTGGTTGTTTTTCTACCACTGCACTAGGCTTCAAAGTTCATCCATGCAAGACCAGGTTGGAAGGAGCTAAGTATTGCCAGACCGAGATATGATGTCAATACCTGAAGCTTCTGACTGTTGGTCGAAACGGTGTAAAGGGATGTTGGTTTCCCACGACGGCATTAAAATCTATGGTTGGAAACTACATGATATGGCAGAGGCACATATGCACCTGACTAGATCTTCAGAATTGCATCATCATACACTTGTAGCCTCCTTATTATCCTATTATTTCCTTGTCTTCTTTATTGTTTGGTTACACCCTATCGTGTCGCTATGAACTGTAACAAGTTGAATTGATGCACAATCATACCACTATTTATTTCAGTTCCTCGTCAACAAACATGTCAAGTATCTGTGCAACGACTGAAACGTTGTGAAAAGTTGTAGTTAATCACAATTCTGTTTGTGAGGTTTGTAAATGCTTTCTGTATGGAACCTTGCTTTTCATCATCAATGAAAGAATATAATTTAACTTAAATGAGTCGTAAAGTCGTCAATGCCGTGTTATCTATCTGAGGACTGGTTCTGTTTTAGGGTATTTGTATATCATGTGATGATATCGACAGTCTGCAGGTACCTTTCACTTTATCCAGTACCAAAACTAACATCGAAATCTTTAATATTCTGTTTTTACTCTATGGGAAGGATAATGCGACACATGAGTGTCACATATGATAACTTGCACTTCTTATTTGTTACATAAGGGTCAAATTTTTAAACAAAAACGTTCTGACAACGGAAGGACAGTTTCCTAACTGACTTCTCCAGTTACATGGAAGTTTTGTTTGGTGTCTCAGCCGGTGTTGGATCGTTCGATTGATTGTATGTAGTTCGAGTGATAACCTGGAGACATACGTTTCCCCTAGACAGCCCGGAAGAATGTAAGTTTTTTGTAGAGATAGTAGTATATTTTAGTTAGATTGGCTCGAAGTTGAGGTTGCAATATTCCTTTCCATAGAGGAGGACCAAAAAGTACGATTTTAATGCAAAGGCTTTATTCGGTTATCAAAATAGTGTAGTAGGCAGAAATACCTATAATTTTCGGGAGGAAAAAGTCCCTGCTCCAACATGAGGCTCAGTAATACTTAGATGAATAAATCACACTAGTTGGTCAGTTAAGGCCGACGTGGGACGTGGTATTATTGCATAGCGGTCTTAGTTGCCATACCCCACCAGCACATCAAGACGAGATGTGTGTAACAATCTACATGTGTACTGTAGGAGGAATCGAACCATACAGTCAAGCGTGTTGGAATGCCTCTATGTAGTTGGAACACTGACGATAGACATTATCTCTAGGTAACATCTTGTGGAAACAGGGGTATGACCCGCATCAAAATAATTCCGAAACCATCATACAGCAGATATCAAGGCTATATGATCAAATTTCTTCAAAGCATTAATGATACGAAGGCTAAAATCCATTTTATCCGTTCAAGAAGAGTTTTCTTTCACTTAACACCTTCCTCGGCCAACTTCATCTAATTGTGTTACGAAGAGCGATCCAATAAAGGTAGACAGACAGGGAAAATCAACGTGGAGCCTCACATACAAGTGCCCCAGTTTAACTCGCCATACTTCACACTATCATACAAACATCAAGTGGATAGAGAAAGACTGATATCAAGGTAGGCAGTTGTGTGAGAGAATGAACAATTTGAAGATAACGGCTAGTGTTGATATCCAAGCTTTAAAAGGCATCGAAGAATGAATACGTCTGCGCCATTGTGACTGATTTTCAGCCGTTTCACCAAGAGTCCTCAACCACTGATTGTTACTGTCTTGGGTACCCGAATCAGGCTGTCGAAGTGTCTCCACACAGTTCATACCAGCAGTCAAAGACTTCATTGACTTGTGTCAGGTCTTGGTCTGGCTACCACAAACCCTTTTCCAACCTATTCAAAGCAGATACATGCTTTGGCTCATTAGTTTATGGATTTGACTTTGAACCGTTAGGTCATGGGTTCGAGACCCACTTCACCTACCGAGGTTTGGGCGGCCAGATGGTATCACTAGTCTTCATACAAAAGGTGTAACTCATAGCCTGCTCCACGGATGCGTACAAGGTGGCTGAGTGCCTTTAGTTATTAAGAAAGATACAAGCAGTATCCACAGCACTCAGATAAGGAATGAGATCAGCATTTTAACTCTTTAGAGTTTTACTTCATTGCGTTTTGTTACGTTGTGTGCATGCAGAAGGTAACAAGTCCTAGACATCATTACTTCATCCATGTGAGCCGTCAGTAATGAGTGTTCTGAATACTTCCTTCAATTTTTTTCATGTCTGAAAGTCACACCTATTCATCTGATATTGATCGTACTGAGTAGCTGAAACGATAACTATCATGATCAAAAAGCCTTATTAGCCTGGTTGGAAGGACCGAAGAGATGAACAAGTCTGAAATAGTTAACTCTTCACTAAGAACACATCATCTAATCACCACTCACTCTCCTGCCAACCGTCACCCACTGGAACAGATGGGGTTAGCAATGAGATCTAGTCAGTTAATCGATTAAACGCCTTTCTGATATTCTGAAAGTCAGTGGTTCATGTTCTGATAGGGTTTGCGTTTCCTCTCTACTTTGAAGAAATTCAGTCTTGCGAACGAAACCCACGTCAACTAGCCTCATTGGTAAACAGATACAAATAACACTTGAACGATTGTATCGCATTCTGTTGTTTCACTATTTGTGTGTGGCCCATACATTGACAAGTAGTGGCAATTGTGATATGCAGTTGATGTTAGTTGAAAGTGCGTATAACTAACTTCCAAAAAAAGAGTTCGATGATTGTATATAGCAAATATTCTTTATCCAATATCTTGAAACACAAAATCAGCCGTAAGATCCTCTTCAAAATGGTCTTTTATGTATTGTATACAGATGGTTAGTGACGAATACATAAATTTATTAAAATTCAGGTCATTTATAAACTAAGACCTCCTATGTATATTCAGCAACAATTTGTACGAATATTTCATTTTTCGTACAGAGGGTCGTGTGGTTGAGACATTTTGCCACACAGTTAATCTCCTAACTTTCACATCACTTTCTAACTTCTCATTGCATTTTCTAGGTGTCTAGTTCTTTTTTTCACGTAAATACACGAAATCAATTTTATAATTTTTATGACTGTCCTGTCTTTCGGCTATCTTTTGATAAGTTACAATTAGTTACTTCCATTTTTTATTTTTAGGTATACTTAATTCCACGCAAGATATGATAATACCTATATATGGACCAAAGTAAATCATTTCACGCGTAATTTCTTCCCTATCTCTGTGTAGTGGAGAAGTCGATGAATGGCTGTTGATTGAGCTACAAGGTGATATTCTGTCCAAAACAAGTAATTCTCTGGAGGGTAGAACATTAGGTGATCTACATTTCTCACAACAGGTTCAATTATTTTATTTCATCTTTTGTAATCTGTATTTCTTTTTCCAGACTGGTGATCCAGTTTTCCTTATTGGTCATCACGTCCTATTTGGCAAATTAATTAACTTAGAGAAACCAATGCTTATCACAAAAAAATGTGCTACCTCAGGGAAACTAAGTTATGAAATTGTTTCTGTCATTCGCAGGAAATTATTGTTTAAAACGCGTCCCAAACCAATTATTTCATCGGTTTCTAAAAAGGTTTAAGAAGCACAATGATATAACCAGTTTATGAATGTGATCCATTATTGTAAATATATGCTTGTTTACCAACAGTTCTTTTTCAATACCTAATTCATCGTCTGTTGATCAGTACCACTCGATTGTGAGAGATAACATATTCATCAATATTGTGTTCTATAAGAATAGTGGACGAGATGAAGGGGCTATCTGTTTTCGATCAAACGTGCTTGTGCAACATTGGACACCTGTGGTGAGAGCAAACAGTGGACAGTGTTATATAGTAGGCATGTAGTCTGGGCAAGGAAGGCAATTCATTTTGATTAGCATATCGAACTTCGTTATTGTTTTCCTCTCTCTTCCTTCCCTCCTATGACCCACCACTTTTAATTAATTTTCTTCTCATTTCCCTATATTTCATCTTGGTGCCTTCTGTTTTGATGTGTTGATATGAATTGTGGCGAATCGGGCTGTTACGCGGTAATGCTGCGTCTCATGCTGGTGTTGCCTGACTTGACTGACGATGAACCTTGACTAACTTAGATGTCTTGGGTATGTGTTGCACATGCCGACTCATCGTCTGCCTCCGTCAGTCACTTTGCCTACCATGGTAAACTTTTCGTACCAAGATTAGGATCAATTATGCCATTCTTTTCTTTTGTTCTCATCTCTCTCAATTTTGACGCCCTATTATCCTAGTTGCTCTATTTATCCTTCCATTCTTCACTTTTATATCACTTGGCTTGAAAAGCAAGTGTGTGATCAGATTGCTCAAAGTGCGTTGGGCAAGTAGGCCACACACTGTTCAGATTAGCTTCGTCGTCTAATTGCACTGTCTAAAATCATGAAGTCTTTGACTGATGATCTGAACTGCTTAAGATAGTGTATCCCACTCTATCGATGTCCACGAGTTGATGAGAACCGACGTTTGGTAACTTGGCTCGCAACTGGTAATGGTGGTACAGATGTTTGCCCTTTTTGACACTCTCGCTAACCTTCATTTTTTGTTGCCATTCTTACTGTTTATGTCCTTTGGGTGTGTTGCCGCGAACTGTGAAAGGATTAAAATGATGCGCTAATTTGCAATGTTTCACACTTATCTGCTCGTCCACTTTAGTGATGGTTATCGTAAGATATTTATGGCTGCCTGTACTTTTATAGTAGACTATATACTAAAGTTATGGTGTATGTGTTCATTAAGTTTAAGAAATGTATGTAGGCTATATGAAAAATGAAGTACGAAGTCATTATCCAGTGATTTGTATCTTGCGGACATTTTATTACTGATATATTTTCTGTCTCCTTCTTCATCCTGGCGACGTGTCCTGTTTTAGGCACATATGTAACTGATTCATATCTACGACCACAACCATTGTCCGATGCGTGTCTGATTAACTGGGTTAATATGGTTGGGGTAGGACTATAACATGATGTATTGGCTGAGAACTGTAATGTGACGTGCAAATTGTTTATTGTGATACGATTTTATTGGTAAAAAGTGCGTCACTGTCCAAGTATACTGTAGGTTTACGCTCGTGAATCCTCGTAAAATATCATTGTTGTATTGATGGTGTACATACAATATAATGCGTTGAGCTGTAGTTCATTCGACTTCTAATCAGTGGATTAGGTTCGAATCTCTCTCCACCTACTGATGTCTGGGTAGCCACATTGGATCACTAGCCATCACACAATAGGTGTAGTCTGCTACCCAGTGTACGTGAATGTTGAGTGTATTTCAATTCATAATATGAACGAGACGATGTCCAGTAAGGTTTGGGTATCAGTAGAGGAAGATTTGCGGTTCAAGTTGATAACGAAGTTTATTTTGATGTCTTATGATCTTTTAACTGTTTTCATTCCGTCACTGGACTATTTAAAAACTTATATGTAATTTTAACAGACTTGACAGGATAAGCGTTAGAGTGAGGGTAGGATGCTATATACTCCTAGTGAAAAGCTAGAATCTGAGTTATTTAGGCATTTGACTGTCGGTCAGTGCATAACGAGTTCGCATACACTAACTCGTATGTAATCCACAACACATTAAACAGGCTTCCACCTATTCAGTTGGTTGTACTCTATTTTAGTCCTTATACAGTGGTTGTTTTTCTACCACTGCACTAGGCTTCAAAGTTCATCCATGCAAGACCAGGTTGGAAGGAGCTAAGTATTGCCAGACCGAGATATGATGTCAATACCTGAAGCTTCTGACTGTTGGTCGAAACGGTGTAAAGGGATGTTGGTTTCCCACGACGGCATTAAAATCTATGGTTGGAAACTACATGATATGGCAGAGGCACATATGCACCTGACTAGATCTTCAGAATTGCATCATCATACACTTGTAGCCTCCTTATTATCCTATTATTTCCTTGTCTTCTTTATTGTTTGGTTACACCCTATCGTGTCGCTATGAACTGTAACAAGTTGAATTGATGCACAATCATACCACTATTTATTTCAGTTCCTCGTCAACAAACATGTCAAGTATCTGTGCAACGACTGAAACGTTGTGAAAAGTTGTAGTTAATCACAATTCTGTTTGTGAGGTTTGTAAATGCTTTCTGTATGGAACCTTGCTTTTCATCATCAATGGAAGAATATAATTTAACTTAAATGAGTCGTAAAGTCGTCAATGCCGTGTTATCTATCTGAGGACTGGTTCTGTTTTAGGGTATTTGTATATCATGTGATGATATCGACAGTCTGCAGGTACCTTTCACTTTATCCAGTACCAAAACTAACATCGAAATCTTTAATATTCTGTTTTTACTCTATGGGAAGGATAATGCGACACATGAGTGTCACATATGATAACTTGCACTTCTTATTTGTTACATAAGGGTCAAATTTTTAAACAAAAACGTTCTGACAACGGAAGGACCGTTTCCTAACTGACTTCTCCAGTTACATGGAAGTTTTGTTTGGTGTCTCAGCCGGTGCTGGATCGTTCGATTGATTGTATGTAGTTCGAGTGATAACCTGGAGACATACGTTTCCCCTAGACAGCCCGGAAGAATGTAAGTTTTTTGTAGAGATAGTAGTATATTTTAGTTAGATTGGCTCGAAGTTGAGGTTGCAATATTCCTTTCCATAGAGGAGGACCAAAAAGTACGATTTTAATGCAAAGGCTTTATTCGGTTATCAAAATAGTGTAGTAGGCAGAAATACCTATAATTTTCGGGAGGAAAAAGTCCCTGCTCCAACATGAGGCTCAGTAATACTTAGATGAATAAATCACACTAGTTAGTCAGTTAAGGCCGACGTGGAACGTGGTATTATTGCATAGCGGTCTTAGTTGCCATACCCCACCAGCACATCAAGACGAGATGTGTGTAACAATCTACATGTGTACTGTAGGAGGAATCGAACCATACAGTCAAGCGTGTTGGAATGCCTCTATGTAGTTGGAACACTGACGATAGACATTATCTCTAGGTAACATCTTGTGGAAACAGGGGTATGACCCGCATCAAAATAATTCCGAAACCATCATACAGCAGATATCAAGGCTATATGATCAAATTTCTTCAAAGCATTAATGATACGAAGGCTAAAATCCATTTTATCCGTTCAAGAAGAGTTTTCTTTCACTTAACACCTTCCTCGGCCAACTTCATCTAATTGTGTTACGAAGAGCGATCCAATAAAGGTAGACAGACAGGGAAAATCAACGTGGAGCCTCACATACAAGTGCCCCAGTTTAACTCGCCATACTTCACACTATCATACAAACATCAAGTGGATAGAGAAAGACTGATATCAAGGTAGGCAGTTGTGTGAGAGAATAAACAATTTGAAGATAACGGCTAGTGTTGATATCCAAGCTTCAAAAGACATCGAAGAATGAATACGTCTACGCCATTGTGACTGATTTTCAGCCGTTTCACCAAGAGTCCTCAACCACTGATTGTTACTGTCTTGGGTACCCGAATCAGGCTGTCGAAGTGTCTCCACACAGTTCATACCAGCAGTCAAAGACTTCATTGACTTGTGTCAGGTCTTGGTCTGGCTACCACAAACCCTTTTCCAACCTATTCAAAGCAGATACATGCTTTGGCTCATTAGTTTATGGATTTGACTTTGAACCGTTAGGTCATGGGTTCGAGACCCACTTCACCTACCGAGGTTTGGGCGGCCAGATGGTATCACTAGTCTTCATACAAAAGGTGTAACTCATAGCCTGCTCCACGGATGCGTACAAGGTGGCTGAGTGCCTTTAGTTATTAAGAAAGATACAAGCAGTATCCACAGCACTCAGATAAGGAATGAGATCAGCATTTTAACTCTTTAGAGTTTTACTTCATTGCGTTTTGTTACGTTGTGTGCATGCAGAAGGTAACAAGTCCTAGACATCATTACTTCATCCATGTGAGCCGTCAGTAATGAGTGTTCTGAATACTTCCTTCAATTTTTTTCATGTCTGAAAGTCACACCTATTCATCTGATATTGATCGTACTGAGTAGCTGAAACGATAACTATCATGATCAAAAAGCCTTATTAGCCTGGTTGGAAGGACCGAAGAGATGAACAAGTCTGAAATAGTTAACTCTTCACTAAGAACACATCATCTAATCACCACTCACTCTCCTGCCAACCGTCACCCACTGGAACAGATGGGGTTAGCAATGAGATCTAGTCAGTTAATCGATTAAACGCCTTTCTGATATTCTGAAAGTCAGTGGTTCATGTTCTGATAGGGTTTGCGTTTCCTCTCTACTTTGAAGAAATTCAGTCTTGCGAACGAAACCCACGTCAACTAGCCTCATTGGTAAACAGATACAAATAACACTTGAACGATTGTATCGCATTCTGTTGTTTCACTATTTGTGTGTGGCCCATACATTGACAAGTAGTGGCAATTGTGATATGCAGTTGATGTTAGTTGAAAGTGCGTATAACTAACTTCCAAAAAAAGAGTTCGATGATTGTATATAGCAAATATTCTTTATCCAATATCTTGAAACACAAAATCAGCCGTAAGATCCTCTTCAAAATGGTCTTTTATGTATTGTATACAGATGGTTAGTGACGAATACATAAATTTATTAAAATTCAGGTCATTTATAAACTAAGACCTCCTATGTATATTCAGCAACAATTTGTACGAATATTTCATTTTTCGTACAGAGGGTCGTGTGGTTGAGACATTTTGCCACACAGTTAATCTCCTAACTTTCACATCACTTTCTAACTTCTCATTGCATTTTCTAGGTGTCTAGTTCTTTTTTTCACGTAAATACACGAAATCAATTTTATAATTTTTATGACTGTCCTGTCTTTCGGCTAT